GGCCTCACCAGGGCAGAGTAGAGGGGGAGGAGAACCTCTCTCGACCTACTAACCACACCCCTTCTAATACACCCCAGGATGCCATTGGCCTTCTTGGCCATAAGGGCACATTGCTGGCTCATGGTCATCCTGCTGTCCACCAGGACCCCCAGGTCCCTTTCCTCTGTGCTGTTCCCCAACAGTTCAGTCCCCAACTTGTACTGGTACATGGGGTTGTTCTTACCCAAATGCAAGACTCTACACTTGGCCTTGTTGTATTTCATTAAATTTCTCCCTGCCCAACTCTCCAGCCTGTCCAGGTCTCTCTCAATGGCAGCACAGCCTTCAGGTGCGTCAGCCACTCCTCCCAGTTTAGTGTCATCAGCAAACTTGCTGACCATGCACTCTATTCCCTCATCCAAGTCATTGATGAATATGTTCAACAATACAGGTCCCAGTACTGACCCTTGAGGGACTCCACTGGATACAGGCCTCCAACTGGACTCTGTCCCATTGAGCACACTACTCTCTGGCTTCTATCCTTCAGCCAGTTCACAATCCACCTCACTACCCGAACATCCAGACCACACTTCCTCAGTTTAGCTGTGAGGATGCCGTAGGAGACTGTGTCAAATGCTTTACTAAAGTCAAGATAGACCACATCCACCGCTCTACCATCAACGACCTACTGGGTCATGTCCTCATAAAAGGCTATCAGGTTTGTCAAGCACGACTTTGTCTTTGATAAGTGGGAGCTCCTTGGAGAGTTTACCTGCAGCTTGCTTGTTGAGCTTGCTTGTTTAAAGTTGTCATTCCCCTCTCTTGAGGCAAGCAGTTCACTTTTCTAATTTGCACAAACACATTGGAGATTTTGTACTCTGGGAATCAGTGTGGTAAACCACTGAGGTCTTCTGTGGAGATATTTTGGAAATAATTTATGAAAATATCTTGCAGTCTATGCTTTCAAATATTATGATGGAAAAAGTGTCTCTAAAAGAAATGGTAGGGGAAAAAGTATGTTTGCTTTTGGTACTAGTGTGTTTGCTTTGACATAATTTTTGCAGTGTGTTTTGCTCTGTTATATGAATTTCCCCTCAAGTTGTAACCTGGTTTTCCTTGTTCTTGTTAACATTGCTTGCAGAAGTTTTGTCAAGCCAACTTTTTCCTAAGTTTTCCTAAGTAGTGTTGTTTATAGCTGCCTTGTGTTGTATGGTGCGTATGCAAACATACTGCCTAGAAGCAGAAGGAATGTTCTTTCCGTGATGCATATGTTTGTCTTCACTGCTTGCTCACCTTGGATTCAATGGCAAGTGTTGTAGAGCACAAAGCCTTGGATGCTGCTGATGTGCTCACGTCACTAACATGGGTGTAGTTGAACTACCGTGTCTGATGGTACAACTTTTGACATGGTTACAATTGGATATTTCAAATAAGATGTCATGGTAGCCAACCAAACTCATCAGCATAATGACCAATAGACTGCTCCATCTGGAATAATATGCTGGCATTGGAAGTATTAAAGTGAGCAGTAACTTGCATCCAAAAGAGAAAGAATAGTTGAGACAGATGGCCCAAAGCTCATATGCGATAACTGAAGGGTGTGGGGAGTCTTCAGTGCTGCAGTTCTTGGGCTGCCATGTGTTGGCCCTTCCAACTTAGAGCTAAGACTTCAAGTAGAAGTTTCTCTCATACTTGGATAGCTCCAGAGAGAGTCGTAACTGAGTAAGTTGGCCACGGAGTGAGATTAATGCTATATGACTACATCAGTAGATTGTGTATGTGTTGGAGGTCAGAAACTTAAAGCTGATGGCAAATACAAAAATTCATGTTTTAACCTCTTCTACAGCCTGTGCAGAGACAAAACTTTTTGTGTTGTGCTGAAAGTAGGTCTTGCATTCTGCGTAAAATTAACCATTAAAAGCTCCTCTTTAGGCAACCACAGAAAAATGAGTTGTCACTGATTCAGTAGCACCTTTCTTATCTTCACTTGTCGTGTTTAAATGGAACAGTCAGGTCTCGATGTGTATTTGTGTTTTGCAGGAAGAATCCCATTCACTTTCAGCAGTTCAGTCACCCTCACGATGATGACTATCATGAAACGGAGACTGTAACTCAGGATAATGATGATGACCGGCCAGAATGTCCATATGGAACGGCTTGCTATAGGTAAGAAACACTGTACAAAATGGCTTTTCTTGTTTTACAGGTTAAGACTGTTCTCCCCTGGAATTACGACAATAGAATAATGAGTAATTCTTGATGTTGAATCTGGAGCGTAGCCTCTCATTATGACTCTTTGTAAAGTGTCACTGCCTTTTGAAATTTCCTGTGGATAGGCTGCTACCCTTGAAGCACCAACGTCTGTGCAAAATATTTGTTAGTGGTTTCAGCCAGTGAACGTGAAAACTTGACTTTTGGAACCTATTCGGCGACCTAGAGACCAGCACTGTTACACTTGTCAACATGGAGTAAACTGTTCTTTAGATGAACAATGATTTATTGTTCCGTGTTGTTCTTGATATGTAACGTCTAGTTTAAATTTTGATAAAGCATTTGTTGTGCTTTTGTTAAAACTCTTGATTTTTAGTTGGTGTTTGGTTTGTTAGCCTAATGTAGGTAACAGCAATAATACCCAGTTTATGGCTGACTGCAGTTTCCTTTCAGCGCTGTTGATGTTCTTGAAAAGGTGGTTGTATTCCACTTGGTTTCTCCGTGTCTAGGTGTTACGCTTTTATTTAGCAGCGTTTAATGAGCGCTGTGTGACTGACACAATGGACCAAAGGATACGTTTTGAGGCAATAGCACTTCTGTGGGGGCATATTGAACCTTAATGGGTGCTGAGCCTGGGCAGAATCTTGAAGGGAGCGTAATTAAATGCTGTGCCTTGAGTTGGGATGGAGTGGTCTGGTGCTGACGATAGTAGAAAAACATGGAAATGGGCAATTCTTTTTGTTCCAGTACAGTGTATTTAGGAGAAGGCTGTATTTCCATTGTTTATTCGGGTATCACTTCTACTGCACCCGTGACATACTTTGGGATGGCAGTAGCTATAGAATAGTAAATCCACTTGAAGTGTGTGAATTTGTGACCAGTTCTTTGACATGAAAATAAGATTTTTTTCTATTGAAGACTGGCTGTATTACTCTGTCCTTTGAAGAATAAGAAAACATAAATAAGGGACTGATTTTTCCAAGGCAGCCTTCACAGCAAGGGTATTTTGTAAAGTATACAAAAACTTGTGCAGATGCAGAAATTCACCTCAAGTGGCAAGCTATGTCACATGGTATGTTGTTCTTCAAGAGTGGGCTTTAATTGTCGCTTCTTTTCAGAAGCGAAAATGAGAACAACTGAACTGGTTTTCTTCCAAAGTTAGAGTTTTTAAAAATTTTCTGCCCCAAAATAAATGTAATTGAAACTTTTTTTAACCTGCAGCCCTCAGCAAAGCCTCTAATATGCTAACACCACAGATGAGCATTAGTGTCGTGTTTTTTTTGGACTGAGGGTCGAGACAAGAACCGAGCGGGAGCACCCACCAACCATGGTCTCGGGCAAAACATGACTCAGGCTTTCTTCATAAACCAAAACAATTTATTAACAGTTACTTAACAAAAGACAAAAGGGGACGAAACCGGTTACTTGAGAGGAGAAAAGAGAAAACAAGGCCCGATCTTAAAACAACACCTCCCCACCCCCTATTTTCCTTTCGTTCCTGGCTCTGCCTTCCCCCCAGCGGCGCAGGGAGACAGGGAATGGGGGAGTACAGGTCAGTTCATCCATGTTGTTCACTGCCGCTCCTTTCTTAAAGGAGGAGGAGTCTTTACACCATTTTTCCCTTGCTTCGGTGGATCCCCTACTCACAAAGTCCCCAAACTTTTCCAGTATGAGTCCTGCCCGCAGGATTGCAATCCTCCCCATGGATCGCACCAGTTCAGGCTTTACCAGTCTCGGCCTCTTAGGGCTCGCGGCGCGTTGGGTCGTCCCACGGTCTCCAGATGCCTCCACGACCTCGTCGTGCATTCCATGCCCCATTATCAACAGTACCTGGTCGCGCATGCCCTGCTCCACGACCTCTCCTGGGCT